ATTCCTCTTCCCACACTGTGGTATGTGGAACGAACTGGTATGTGAGTCAAGGTAGGAATAATGACCATGCACAAATCAAAATGCTATTTTGTGTTAAGCGGAGTCTAAGGCCTCTTAGCAAATTCACAACCCAATGGTATCAAATCTAGCAGGCAAACGTATTTGACTCACTATACCCTATGATGAAGGATTGTGTTCGAAACGGTCTTAATATTAAGTACGATACCACCGGGGTATACGGGACAGTATTTTCTCTATGGACTGTTATTTTCCCTAGGAGGGCTTGTGCTTGTGGACTATTTTGGACTGTATTCCTTTAAGAATCATCATTCTGTGGTTTGTGTGACTTTTATGATGTGCATTACATTCTTTTGAAGCGCTGCATGTGTTTACATATTGAGTGTATTTAATATATTCCTATGAGTACCATTACTTGTCCGTAAACACTTTATGGGAGAGTTTCCACCTTTTTCATTTGTAGATTTACACTTTCCCTTCCCGGTTAGTTTTGCATTAATTCTGTACCGCTTTCTTATGGCCCCAGGCTCCAGAATTCCTCATGCAAAAAACCCAAAACCAACCTCCTCGCACCTGAGGATCACCTTTTCAGCCCTGAGTCACCCTCTGTCCAGCACAGCCAAGAACAAAAGGCCACTGGTCTTCACATTAAAATCCATTCTTTCTCTTAATGTTAATCAGAAGGTGCTTGCTCCCCCAATGCCAGTCTACAGACAGAATGCAGGGAGGGTGGAGTGATAGGCCAGGTCTTCTGCTTTGTTAGTTTACAGATTATATCTTACTTTCCAGTTCTAAAAGGACACTTGAGGCTGCCTACAGTGGCATTAATTGCAGTGCCTCTAGCAAGAGTCCAGTGGCTACTTGAGAGGTTGCACCCTCTCCCACCCAGGGAGAATATTCTGGCAGAAAAGAAGCCTAGCCTGTCCTTAGCCATTGGTTAGAGAATGAGTAGCTGCAGGGAACTTGTTTCCCCAGTTCCGAAAAGGAAGAACTCTTAACTACCAGTTGCCCTGGGACCGCAGTTTTGAAGGGAAGAGCACCGGCTTGTACCTGTCTGTTGCAAGCTGCCTTCAAGACGCAGGGTTATCTTTTATGTCTAAAATAAAAACAAACAATATGGGATAAGGCCTGTTCCAGCAGAAGAGGAGGCATTTCTGTTGCGAACACATGAACACATGGAACTGCCTTATACTGAATCAGACCCTGGGTCCGTCAAAGTTAGTATTGTCTGCTCAGACTGGTAGCCGCTCGCCAAGGTCTTTCACATCACCTACTGCCAGATCTTTTAACTGGAGATACCAGCCACTCCATCACACCGGCTCTGCTTTGTACATCTGTATCTATAGGAAACTTTATGCTAAAGAGGATCTATCCAGTTCTAGTGACTTCTGGCTAGCAGCTGGGAAGGTTTGTTCTCCTGGCTTGGGTGCACTGCTAAACTGTATTCCAACAGCACAAAACAGCAAAGTGGTTCATGAGTCCTAGGGTTGCCAACCTCCAAGTGGTGGCTGGAGAGCTCTTGGGATTACGACTGATCTCCAAGCAATGGAGATCGGTTCCCCCGAAAGGAAATGGCTGCTCTGGAGGGTGGACTTTATGTCCCGTTAAAGTCCCTCCCCTCCCCAAACCCCGCCCTTCTCAGGCTCCACTCCCAAAATCTCCAGGTATTTCCCAACCCGGAGCTGGCAACCCGATTCATGACTGGAACAAGCCCCAAATCCTCAGGATTCCTAAGGTCCTCCCTTCTTCCCTCTCATGTGTGGAGGTAAGATTGAAGACTTCCTAGTTCATTATTGCCTTTGGCCACCATTTGTCGTGTGAGACCTGAATTTGAGCGCTTCAACAAATTTCTTGTGACATCTGAATTCTGGCACTAGAGCAAACTGAGGTTTGCTTCTTCTCCACCAACCGGGGTTGTAAACCATGCGTTTAATCCAGGTTGGTTTATTTAGTTTACAAAAATGCTATGGTTTAGAATTCTGGTTTGTGGGTAAGAAACAAACCCCGGTTTGCTGAAGTGAGAGCCAGAATGGTGCAACTGTTACACTGTTGGCGTGAAATTCCCAACTCTGCCTTAAATAGCTCACTGGGTGACCTTTGACCAATCACTCTCTCAGGCCCAATCTGCATTTGCTATGTAAAGCTGTTCCGTGCTGCTGTGTTGCCAGCTTCCCATTTGGTTCTGTATAAAGCTCTCCTCTATCTGCATTGTTTAGGGAGAGCACGAGGGGGGGGGAGCGGCCTCCCAGGGGTGCTGCGCTACGCTGTGAGGAAACGGCACATGTGACCTCCCCCCCCCCAGAAAGTTAAAGGGGGTGACCTGGCAGAGGGGGAGCAGGAAAGACGGAATGAGCTGGGTAAAAAACACACAACACCCAGCAGTTGCCAGACCGGCATTCTGGACACTGCCTCAAGAAATAACAAATGGTTCAGGGGTGGGTATGCTTCCAACCCCCCCCCCCAATACGATCGCAGAAAAATGTTCCCTGGTTGTTTTTAATCACAGACGACTGGATTTTCAGCTACCTTGTTTCCTTTGTGACAATTTGTGTATCTCCTTAGAAAAGATGGGGGGGGAGAATTCAGCTCCAGTTGTCTGCTTTTTGCTCACAGCAGCTTGACGGTGGGGAGGAGCAGTTGTACCACCTTAAAACCACATTCAGATAAGGCAGTGAGATGCTGTAGTGACCTCGGAGTGATCACTAAATGGCAATAAAATGATGCAGACACCTGATGCTGAGATGAAACAATAGGAGAGTGGATGCGGTGTGAAATGCAGACAGAAATTTGTGAGATGATATGAGATCCTTGGCACAACGGTGGGAAATACCAATGCAGATTGGACCTCAGTCTAAATTTCCTAAGATGGTGGTTGTGAAGATAAAATGGTGTGGAGATAACCATGTAAGGCGTCTTGGGGAAAGGTTGGGATAAAGATGTGTTAGATTCAGTAAAAATGTACTACACTTTAGTATTTCAGTGTTATAAAGTTTAGCTTCTTATCCAAACATACTGGCAGTCTGACCTATTGTGACTCTATGAGACAGCTTCTGTCGAAATGAAAACATTTTCTTTTGTTTGCTGCACAATATGTTTTCTGTCTTTAGCTTCGGTCTCTATCTGTCAAATGGCAAAAATTAAAGATACATGCACTGCTGTAGAATAGGGGAAGCAGTTTGGAACTCCTTTTCATGTATCGGGAAGTGTTTGCGATTTTCCATTTAGAAATCAAAGATACTTATTCTTTTACATTCCGTAACAATGGCAAGTACTGTAGTTTTATATGCTAACCAATTAATAAATGATGGGAAAGTAATTATTGAACACACACACACACTCACACACATATATATATATACATACAAATTGTCCCGGTCCTGACGTCCCGGGCCTCCTCAACGAACCCCCTCCCGACATCGGGGCCGCACACACCCCACTCACCGTGTCCGCTACAGGGCCCCAGTCTGAGGGGCAGGCGACGCCGGTCCGCGAGGGGTGCCGTCCTGCGGCGCAACCCCTCGTGACTGAACCAGGCGGCCTAGCTCCCATTCTGAGGCTTCCGTTCCCCTGGGAAGTCGGGGCAGCGGTAGGAGACGGCGTCTGGTGGCGGCGGCGACCCGGCCGGGCGTGCCAGACCGTCACACAAATATATATATGTATGTATGTATGTATGTTTATATTTTCTTTTTCTTTCCCTCCTTTTCTTTCTTTTTTTTTAATGGGGGGGTTCCCCCCAGGTTTTCAAAATTTCCAGAAATTTTACATGATTAGTTGCAAAACCTTTGTGGTTAGATTGAAGGCTTCCAAAACCAGGAAGATGAGGAAGGGATGTGTGTGCAAACCTGAGGTCCACATCACAAATTGTACTTTGTAGCCCCAGATAGCGTTTGCAGAGGTAACAATGCCACACCGACCATGGCATTGCCAGTGACAGAACTGTCATGCTTAAAGGACAGGGTTGTAAAACTCAACCTTTGCACCGGCACAACTGAATATCATTTTTTAAACAGAGTTTTACATCGCACGTGATCTGATTAAATCTCCCCTTTCCTCCCTCTCTCTAACGCTCCCTTCAGGTTCTACATGGTCAGCTATTACGAGCGGAGTCACCGCATAGCAGTCGGATCTCGCTTGGGTTCAGTGGCCCTCTACGACATCCGGACTGGAAAATGTCAGGTAAATAAATCATTGTGATCTCATCTCTGTAGACTGTACAAGTTATTGAAAGGAAAGCGACGAACTCTTGCGCCGGTTGACACGCCGAGTCCCTGCAACGTTATGGATAATGCTAAGGGGGATCAATAGTTTAATGAAGGACTCAATGTATATAGAGTCTCACTGTTATCATTTGCTGCAACTGAATGGCGAGCACAGATGGGTTAATAATAGCTGTCCAAAAAAGCTGTAACTCCTCACAAACTACCCTGGACATTGAGCCTGTTTCAGTATTGTGTTTAAGTTTCTGCTAATTTCCACATTTGTAGCAAAACTATTTTAGCGATGGTTCTAAAAAAACAAACCCATGTTGCCTTTTTGATACTCAAGGGTTTGTCATGCAAGAACAGTGGATAAAAATAGAACAACAGATAATCTGAAGTCTGAAACACAGCTGTTAGGATTTAGCCTCACTGAACTCCATGAAACTTTCTTCTGAGTAAGTGTGCTTAAGATCACACTGTAAATTTTAATGCTTATAGTCATGCTAACCCCTGACCTGGATAGCCCAGGCTGGCCTGATCTTGTCAGATCTTGGAAGCTAAGCAGGGTCGACCCTGGTTAGTATTTGGATGGGAGACCACCACGGAAGTCTAGGGTCACTACACGGAGGCAGACAGTGGCAAGCCAACTCTAAACGCCTCTTGCCTTGGAAACCCTACAGGGTCGCCGTAAGTCAGCTGTGACTTGATGGCATTTTCCACCCCCACCCCCAATGCAGAGCTGGTAAACCCTCCTAATCCTAATAAAGAAATACCAATATCTGTAGAAGCCAGGAGCCCCAAATCAGTAGACTCCACTTTTTATTCCCCCTTCCCCAAACCTAAGGGCAGCTCTTTATTAAACTCCCCCCCCCCCAGTATTCCTGCCAATACAAAGTAGCTCCCATTCTTAGGAAGACAGGGGAGGTGGAGCCTCTAAGATTTTGATACTGACCTGTGTGTTGAATTTATGTTCATAAATAAGTTGTAGTTTATCATATGAACACATGTTCTTCAGAAGAAGAACAGTAGTTACACCTAGAAGCTTCCTCCAGTGCTGGCTGAGAAAGTGTAAAGGACAGCTCGGTCGCGTTTTTTAGAATACACCCTTCTTTAAATGCTTCCCCCTTTCTCATCTCTCACTCACCCCAGGACTTCCCCCTGCAAGAAGTAAAACGCAGCTTCACATTTAGATGACCTGTAGGAGAGAATTGTCCCATCTGCCTACTCATTTCAGAGGATGACCTAGCAACTGAGCATGCTGTGGTTTCTCTTCCTTTTTGTTAGGTTAAGCAAACAGTTCGTACCAAGGGATGAGATCTCTGTTTCTGTGCCTTTGGTCCCTTCTGTCACTGTTACAGCTTAAATTTTCACTTTTAGAAATGTGGGTGGCCAGAACCCTGCCTAGTGTTTAAACAGTGTCAAAAGAACCTTTAGACATTTTCGCTTGACCTTTTTGGGCCTCATTATTATTTCTATTAGGAAAAACGGCCTGCCGAAGTTTCAGGATTCGAACGTGCTCATATCCTAGATTCTCCCCAGCCTCGCCATAGTTTGCCTGCTAACATATCTGCAGGGCAAATAGTCTGAATCCTTTCTCCCCCCTACCACTGGTTCTAGAAAGTGTGCCTCCACATTATGGATTCCAAAATGTGCTTTTAAAAATGTGTCTGTCTGTGAGTCTAAAGTAGCTAACAAAGGTCAGGGGTGTTGATAGACAGGCTGGGTAAGTGCTTAGAGCTACATATCTGTATGAATGGTTGAATCTGCAATGAAAATCTTCCCTCTGGCTGGCTTTGCCCTTGGTTCAGTGGACATGCTGGAGTATCTTATCTTCCTGACTTTTTCGCCCTCTTTTCTCCCAGCAACCTTTTAGGATGCATTCTGTGAGCTGACAACCGACAGTCTGGAAAATAGCGAATTGTTGGCTTACAGTAGAACATTTTATCCGTGCGTGCTTTGTCTTTACTGTGTGATGTTATGCCGCCGTTAAATCAGTACAGTGAAATCCAGATCTTGTAATTTATGTTAAGAAGCCGGTCAGCCTGTTTGCTTGGGAGTCACAATAGTCCTGAACGATACTCCCTCTAAGCTGTGGGGTCTTGTGAGCAAAAATTCTACTTTTTGAGCTACTGGCGTTAAAGTTGTGAGCGAGCGATTTGGCTCCTGCAGAAATTGGTTTGCTCTAGAGCCATCCTTCCTGAGCTAAGGCAGAAATGTGTGGGCCGGAGGCTCAGCTCAGGATTTGGTTTATTTGATTTATATAATCAAATAAATCAATGGTGCGACCTCATTTGGAATACTGCGTGCAATTCTGGTCACCACACCTTAAAAAGGATATTATAGCTTTGGGAAAAGTGCAGAAAAGGGCAACTCGAATGATAAAGGGGTTGGAACACTTTCCCTATGAGGAAAGGTTAAGGCGCTTAGGGCTCTTTAGCTTGGAGAAACGACGACTGAGGGGTGACATGATTGAGGTTTATAAGATTATGCATGGGATAGAGCAGGTAGAGAAAGAAGTCCTTTTCTCCCTTTCTCACAATACAAGAACTCGTAGGCACTCCATGAAATTGCTGACCAGTCGGGTTAGAACGGATAAGAGGAAGTACTTCTTCACCCAAAGAGTGATTAACACTTGGAATTCACTGCCACAGGAAGTGGTGGCGGCTACAAGCATGGACGGCTTCAAAAGGGAATTAGATAAGCATATGGAGCAGAGGTCCATCAGTGGCTATTAGCCACAAGGTATAGATAGGGACTCTAGGGCAAGTGATGCTCTGTCATCTTGGTGCTTGGGGGGGTCAACAGTGGGAGGGCTTCTAATGTCCTGGCCCCACTGGTGGACCTCCTGATGGCACCTGGTATTTCTGGCCACTGTGTGATACAGAGTGTTGGGCTGGATGGGCCTTTGGCCTGATCCAACATTGGCATCTCTTATGTTCTTATGTTCTTATATACCACCCTCCCCTAGATATAGGGCTCAGAGTGGTCAACAACATTTCAATAAATTTGCAGTTGGATTAAAACCATTAATAACAAATGCTATAACTATTCAGATGGCGTGTAAAGACCAATTTATGTCTGTGCCCCATGAGGGGATAGGAGGGATAGAGGAGGCCGGGATCGATGAAAAACCCATAGCTGTCCTCAACCATAGGCTTGGTAGAACATCTCTGTCTTACAGGCCCTGCGGAACTGCACTAGTCTGAAGAAGAGGGGGCTGAGGGGGGACGTGACTGCTCTCCTGAAGTATTTTAAGGGCAGGGAGGGGTGGCAGGGAGCTGTTCCAGTTTGGTGTAGTGGTTAAGTGGTGTAGTGGTTAAGTGCGCGGATTTTGATCTGGGAGAACCGGAGTTTGACTCCCCACTCCTCCACTTACAGCTTCTGGATGACCTTGGGCAAGCCATAGTTCTGTCAGAGTTGTTCTTGAAAAAGAGCAGTTTCTCTCAGAGCTGTCTCAGCCCCACAGCCCCACCTACCTCGCAGGGTGTCTGTTGTGGGGAGGGGAAGGGAAAGGAGGTTGTATTCCACTCTGAGACGCCTTTGGGTAGTGAAGGGCGGGGTATAAATCCAATCTCTTCTTCTTCTTCCTGTTGGCAGCAGAGGATAGGACTCACAATAATGGGTTTAAATTAAGTGCGAGAAAGTACCGGCTGGATCTTAGGAGAAACTTTTTTACAGTCAAAGTGGTTGAACAGTGGAATGGGCTGCCTAGGGAGGTGGTGAGCTCCCCCTCCCTGGCAGTCTTTAAGCAGCGGCTGGACAGACACTTGTCAGGGATGCTCTAGGCTGATCCTGCATTGAGCAGGGGGTTGGACCAGATGGCCTGTAGGACCCCTTCCAACTCTGTTATTCTGTGATTCTAGGGCACAGATGTCATTAGGCAGAGAGTTCCTCCAGGTTGGTGCCAGGGCCAAAAAGGATATCTTTGGGGCCGGATATCTTTGGGGCCAGGGATCACCAGGAGGTTCTTATCCACAGAACATAATGCTCTTCAGGGGGTCTACCAGGAGAAGTAGTCCCGTAGTTACGTTGGTCCCAGTCTGTTTATGACCCCAAAGGTTAATGCCAGAACCTTGAATCTGATCTGGTATTCAACCTGGAGCCAGTGCAGCTGCGAAGCACCAGTTGGATGTGTGCTGTCAGAGGGATGGATATGTGCTGGTTGGATGTGTGTGCCGTCAGAGGAGCATTGGTCCGATTCACATGGCGGTTTGATGCGCTCCTGCTCTCTTTTTGAGCATTCAGACAACCAGACTAGCCGTGGGCTGCATCATGATGTCACAACAAGCGGCAGTTGAATTCCAGTCGGAAGCAGTTTATCGCAGGGCTTGAACAACGGCTGATTATTAAGATGAACTAAAATTTGTGGGCCTAGAATTAATGGAACTCACCACCAAGTGTATTCAAACAGACGGCAGCACCAGCTTTAGCCGAGATAGCTAAGTGAAGCCACTGGATTCCTTTTGCGTACCAGATAAGAACATAAGAGCATAAGAGATGCCAATGTTAGATCAGGCCAAAGGCCCATCCAGTCCAACACTCTGTATCACACAGTGGCCAGAAATACCAGGTGCCATCAGGAGGTCCACCAGTGGGGCCAGGACATTAGAAGCCCTCCCACTGTTGACCCCCCCCCAAGCACCAAGATGACAGAGCATCACTTGCCCCAGAGTCCCTATCTATACCTTGTGGCTAATAGCCACTGATGGACCTCTGCTCCATATGCTTATCTAATTCCCTTTTGAAGCCGTTCATGCTTGTAGCCGCCACCACTTCCTGTGGCAGTGAATTCCATGTGTTAATCACTCTTTGGGTGAAGAAGTACTTCCTTTTATCCGTTCTAACCCGACCGCTCAACCGCTCAGCAATTTCATGGTCCTGTCCTGTCCTCAGTGGCCCAGGCTGGCCCAATCCTGGAAGTTAAGCAAAGGTCGGCCCTGGTTAGTACTTGGAAGGGAGACTGCCACCGAGGAAGTC